TGCGGTGGGGTGAGGGGGAACGGGGTGACTGCGGTGGGGTGAGGGGGAACGGGGTGACTGCGGTGGGGTGAGGGGGAACGGGGAGATTGCAGGGTTGGAGTATGGGGATGTTGTGGGGGGAGGATGGGGTGATTGGATGGTGGGGATTGTGAAGGAGGGTGTATGGGGAAAGTTGGGGGGAATAGTCGGGGAAGCAGATTGGGTAGAAAGGAAAGAGAGAGATGGAGAGCTGGCCTGGGGCTGAGCGTGAGGGTGACAGGTACCTGGTCGGGTCCTGGGACTTGGGGGGGCGGGGAGCCGGCCCGGCCCCGGAGGGGCGGGGGAATGGGGTGCGGGTCCGGCCCCCGGGGGGGGACTGGGAAGCCGGTCCGGCCCCGGGGCTGATACCTGACTGAGCTGAAGGACGAACAGCAGCAGCCTCGCTCCCAGCGCCATCTTTCGGATGAGGTTTGGACCCCTCTAGACACCACAATGGTAGCGTCCACTCAGGGTCGGAACAATCCAAACATACAAAAATAGGGGGAGCCTATTTTGAGGAAAGCCGGCGGTGAACGGCCGATTATTTTCTGTTTTGACCGGAGACCAAGAAGCCGCCGGTCCCGAGGGGAACGCACCCGGGGCGGGGCGAGCCGGAACTCGGGTCGGCGGTTGGGGTTAAAGGTCATAGGGTTGTGAGGTTAGAGGTCGTGGGGTTAGAAGTCGTGGTCGTGATGATGGCGGTGAGAGTGTGTTCGGGTTTTGCTGGTGGCTGAGTTTTAAAATCCCGGGGATTGTGATCGAAAAACCCGTCAATGGCCCACGAGAGGCTCCGGTTACATTTGTTATCCCAGTCTAATTTTTTCCTCGGGCCTATGAAACTCGAGCACCGGTTTTGTTATAATCCCCAATTTGGCGGTTTGACTCATTTTATTTTCTTCATGGCCGTGTCAGAATCTCTGAGTGGCAGCAGGTCGATTTAGTTTTCACGGGAACCTGGGGGGTTATCGGAGGCTCGGGTATCGATCACGAGAAGCTTGGATAGCAAGAATCGGGTTCTAACTTTCTTTGCTTTTATTTCTTTGAATTCAGGATAAGGAGAAGAAAAAGAAGGAGAGTATTCTCGACCTCTCCAAGTACATAGACAAAACAATCCGTGTGAAATTTCAAGGTGGACGAGAAGGTACAGTTTTTTTTTTTTTAATTTCATTTATATATGTTACATAAGTTTGACTTTTACCAGAGACTACAACAGCTGTAGTCTTTTTCCCCAACCAAAGTAGGCAGGCTATTTGGGCAACCATGGTTGAGTTCGGGAAAGGTTTGGAGGGATAGGGGCCAGGAGCAGGTAGGTGGGACTAGTTTTAGTTTGGGATTAGTTTTAGTTTGGGATTGTAGTCCGCATGGACTGGCTGGACCGAATGGTCTGTTTTTGTGCGGTGTGACTCTGAGATTGGGAAAGATAAGAGCTGTGATACAAATTGTTTCAAACCAATAAAAAGTCAATATAGACCTCATCTTGTTCCTTTTTAGGAGTAGTGTGTTAAGTACTGTTTTTCTATTTAGTTTAAGCTGGTCAGAGGCTGCCATAAATTCTTCAGTTTGGTAAAGAAGCTGCTGAGTTCAATTTCAAAATTGACTAAAATAGAAGCTCTAACAACTAATAATCTTTCACCTTCAAGACAATGAATTGGGAAGTGATGTAGATACTGCACTTAGTTACTGAAGAATTGTATTAGTTCTTTGCTGTTAAATTGTAAGGTAGAATGACTTCAACTGAAAATTTGAAGCTTTACTGTTTCAGAATGGTTTCATTGGTTGTTACTGAAGTCTGCTTTGGAAAAGTTGGGTGTTAATGGGAAGATAGTAAGAGTCTTGTGTATTTTGAAGCAATGTATCTTTTGATTCTATTGTATAGTGTCTGTTGTAGTTCACTTGAAATTTGGTGAAATGTTGTTGTGTGTTTTGACAGCTAGTGGGATTCTGAAAGGATTTGACCCACTCCTCAATCTTGTATTGGATGGAACAATAGAGTATGTGAGAGGTAAGCCCCAAAGATGTTCCTGGTTTTTATAACTTGATGGGTAATCTATGATACAAAAATTGTGAAGTGTATTGTAGATAACAAAGGTGTAGCGCTGGATGAACACAGCAGGCCAAGCAGCAGAGGAGCAGGAAGGCTTCTTCCCAGGTGAAGCACCACTTTACCTGCACTTCACTCAAATCTAGTCTACTACATTTGCTACTCTCAATATGGTCTCCTCTACATTGCAGAAACGAAGCACAGACTGGGTGACTGCTTCACAGAACATCTACATTCGGTCTGCAGACCATGAGCTTCTAGTTGCATTTCAACATGCCACTGTTTCCTGGCCAACATCTGTCTCAGGCTTGTTGCAGTGCTTCCAGCGAAGCTCAGTATGAGTTGGGAACTCTACAGCCTTCTGCTCTCAATAGAATTCAACAATTTTAGGGCTTCAGCCACTTTCTTCCATATCCTTACCCCAACCCTCACACACCAGGCCTTGTTATCACATGGTCTGCTATTAC